AAATACGTGACAACCAAGCCAGCGTGATGCAGTGGTTAAAGTGTCAGACTAGGATCTGGGAGGCCCGGGTTCGAATCCCCACTCTGCCATGGAATCTTGCTGGGTGACCTTGGGCCTGTCACAGTCTTGCAGCCTAACCGCTCAAGATTGTCACGAAGATTAAATGGAGGAGAGAAGAGCGATGTAAGCCATTTTGGGTCCCCACTGGGAAGAAGGTTAGGGTATAAATACAATAAATAAGTAAAATGTTACCATGTCCCGGCTAAGGAGGCAAATTCACAGTGAGGATCCCTCCTTCAGTTTGGCCGCCTTGCTGGACTCTGCTCACTTGAGGACCGTGGTTTTGAATCTGCTGTGCTAGGGCCATGTATTCTAGCAACCCTGACACAGGGTTTTTGTGTTTCCCATTCGGTTTCCTACCCTGAACTGGATAGGCCAGGCTAGCCCGATCTTGTCAGATCTTGGAAGCTAAGCAGGGTCTGCCCTGGCTGGTATTTGGATGGGAGACCTCCAAGAAATATCAGGGGCACAATGCAGAGGCAGGCCATGGCAAACCACCTCTGAACGTCTCTTGCCTTGAAAACCCCACAGGGTTGCCATGTCAGCTGTGATTTGATGGCACTTCCCACCACCACCGTTCCGTTTCCCATAGGCTGTTGATTTTTATTTGTTTGGTTCCCCTCCACACACACCCACACTCTGCATTCCTTTTTTCTCTCCATAGTACTGCTTCTGTACTTCTTGCAAAATTCTCTCTCTGTGTGAATGATATTTTTGAATGAATGATTGGTGTAGTGGTTAAGTGCGCGGACTCTGATCTGGGAGAGCCGGGTTTGATTCCCCACTCCTCCACTCGCAGCTGCTGGATGACCTTGGGCAAGCCATAGTTCTGGCACAGCTGTTCTTGAACAAGAGCAGTTTCTGTCAGAGCTCTCTCAGCCCCACCCACCTCACAGGGTGTCTGTTGTGGGGAGGGGAGGGGAAAGGAGATGGTAAGCCACTGTGAGACTCCAAGTGAAGGTGGGGTATAAATCCAATCTCTTCCTCCTCCTCCTCCTCCTCCTCCTCTGAATGAATGAATGAATGAATGAATGAATGAATGAATGAATGAATGAATGAATGAATGAATGAATGAATGAATGAATGAATGAATGAATGAATGAATGAATGAATGAATGAATGAATGAATGAATGAATGAATGAATGAATGAATGAATGAATGAATGAATGAATGAATGAATGAATGAATGAATGAATGAATGAATGAATGAATGAATGAATGAATGAATGAATGAATGAATGAATGAATGAATGAATGAATGAATGAATGAATGAATGAATGAATGAATGAATGAATGAATGAATGAATGAATGAATGAATGAATGAATGAATGAATGAATGAATGAATGAATGAATGAATGAATGAATGAATGAATGAATGAATGAATGAATGAATGAATGAATGAATGAATGAATGAATGAATGAATGAATGAATGAATGAATGAATGAATGAATGAATGAATGAATGAATGAATGAATGAATGAATGAATGAATGAATGAATGAATGAATGAATGAATGAATGAATGAATGAATGATATCTCGGCATCATTCATATGACACGTGGGCGCTCTTTATTCTCTTCAATTGTAGAAAGAACTGTTTTTAAACTGGGATTAATTAGGAGATGTGTAACTTGTGTGTGTGTGTGAACACATATGTATATTTCCAGGAGTTAATTAGAAACCTTTCTGTAAAGAACAGTAGTCCTCAAAGGAAGTTGTCACCCAAGAGAAAGCAAGGTTTTGTCTAGGAATTCACTATCTCTGTTCCTCCTGCTTTTGTTTCTGTTTCGCTTGTTGGCTAAATAGTACAACTGGGTTGTCGTTTTTTAATTATTTGAGAGCCGGTATGGTGGTTAGAATGTCGGACTAGGAACTGCGAGACCTGGGGTCAGACCCCCATTCCGCCATGGAAGCTCACTGGGTAACCTCGGACCAGGGACTCTCCGCTCGACCTACCTCAGATGGTGGTGGCAATGCTCCCTCTAAGCTGTGGAGTCCTTGTGAGCAAAAATTCCACTTTGTGAGCTTACTGGCATTAACGTTGTGACCGAGCGATTCGGCCGCTGCATAAATTAGTTTGCTCTGGAGCCCTCCTTCCTGAGCGAAGACAAAAATGTGTGATCTGGAAGCTGAAAAACTGTGAGCTGGCTCACACTCAGCTTAGAGGGAACACTGGTGGGGAGGATAGAAGGGAAGAGCGAGAACAGTGTTGTAAGCTGCTTTGGCCTCCCGCCGGGGAGGAAAAGTGGGGCATAAGTAAATATAGATTTCCCAAAGTACTGCTGAGGCAGCGGCCCTCTTTTCCCAAGTAGCGGCGCAAAGATGTTTGATACTTGTGTATCCCGCTTGTTCAAACAGGCTTGAAGTATAATTTAAAGACCTCAGGTTTGGGTTGTGTTTCATTTCTCCTTAAACTCTGCCCTCCCCAGGCTCTACCCGCAACTCTCCAGGAATTTCCCAACCTGGAGCTGGCAACCCTGACACCAGATCGGGTTTATCATCCCCAGATGTCACTGAACCAAGGTCTAACCTCAACGCAGTGTCATATGGTGACAATTCTGAGGTGGTAGAGTAGACTGTGGGCTGCCATGGCGCAAGCGGTTAGGACGCTGAACTGCAGTCCGGAAGGTCGGTAGTTCGGCAGTTCGAGACCCGAGTGCCGCGTGACGGGGCGAGCTCCCGCCTCTGGCCCCAGCTCCTGCCCACCTAGCCGTTCGAAAGCCAGAAACTGCAAGTAGATGAATAGGTACCCCTTCGGTGGGAAGGTAAACAGCGTTCCGTGCGCCTCGGCGTCTAGTCATGCCAGCCACAGGACCACGGACAGCGCTGGCTCTTCGGCTTGGAAACAGAGATGAGCACCCACATCCCTAGAGTTGGATTCGGCTGGCTTTCGAGCAAGGGGAACCTTTAACCTTTACTAGAGTATACTACACCCTGACCTGGATGGGCCAAGGTAGCTCAGTCTCATCAGATCTCAGAAGCTAAGCAGGGTCAGCCCTGGTTAGTATCTGGATGGGAGGCCACCAAGGAAGTCCAGGGTTGCTGCATAGAGGCTGGTGACGGCAAGCCACCTCTGAACGTCTCTTGCCTTGGAAACCCTATGGGCTCACCATAAATCTGCTGCGACTTGACAGTGCTTTCCACCAGCAGAGTACTGGTTTGGACTGTGGATGCAATAGGCTGCTTTAGAATGCTTCTATATTGGGGGGGAACCTCTCTGCAAATAACAAGGTAGCACCCCCGGGGGAAAACGTTCGGGCCTAGCTTGCTGCCTGCTGAGCTAGTTTTCTACTTGGAGGGATTTTTTAATGCATTGTGATGTAAAAAATCTTTTGAATTATGGTGCTGGAGAAGACTCTTGAGAGTCCCTTGGACTGCAAGGAGATCGAATCAGTCGATCCTAAAAGAAATCAACCCTGACTGTTCCCTGGAAGGCCAGAAACTGAAGCTGAAGCTCAAATACTTTGGCCCTCAAATGAGAAGGGAGCCCTCACTGGAGAAGACCCTGATGCTGGGAAAGATTGAAGGTCGAAGAAGACGGGGACGGCAAAGGATGAGATGGCTAGACAGTGTTATCGAGGCAACGAACATGAAATTAAGCAAACTCCGGAGCACGACGGAAGACAGGAGGGCCTGACGTGAGGTGATCCATGGGGTCGCGAAGAGTCGGACTCGACTTTGCGACTGAACAACAACAAAAATGTAAAAATGCATCCAGTCCACCTGCAGTCTGTAGTAGTACGGTCCATTTGCCCCCTTAGGTCTCGGCAACCTCTTTACCAGTGTTCCCTCTAAGCTGAGTTAACGTGAGCTAGCTCACAGTTTTTTAGCCTCCAGCTCACACATTTTTGTCTTAGCTCAGAAAGGATGGCTCCAGAGCAAACTAATTTATGCAGTAGCCAAATCACTTGCTTACAACTTTAATGCCAATAGCTCACAAAGTAGAATTTTCGCTCACAAGACTCCACAGCTTAGAGGGAGCATCGCTCTTTACTGCCTCATGCTGCTACCAAATGTAGACTGGGCCTCCGAAGACCATCCAGGAAGTCTCTTTTCCCCACTGCAGGGCAGCCGCTCTGTGGAAGCGGCCCAGCTGATGCCTCTAGTCCTTAGAGAGGAGTTGTGTCTTCTGTCTCAAAAGGGTGTGCCTTTTGATTATGGATAGAAATGTAAATGCAGCAAAAGGAGCCGGTGACTTTTTATAGGTTGTCTTGATGGTGTCTTTTTATAATGCTTTATTTATAGAGAGAGAGAGCCAGTTTGGTGTCGTGGTTAGGAGCGCGGACTCTAACCTGGGAGAACCGGGTTTGATTCCCCACTTCTCCACATGCAGCTGCTGGAGTGACCTTGGGTCAGTCCCAAGTTCTCTTAGAGCTGTTCTCTCAAGAGCAGTCCTCGAAAGAGCTCTCTCAGCCCCACCTACCTCACAGGGTGTCTGTTGTGGGGAGGGGAAGGGAAAGGAGATTGTAAGCCGTTCCGTGAGACTCCTTCGGGTAGTGAAGGGCGGGGTATAAGTCCAATCTCTTCTCTCTCTTATATTGTAAGCTGCCTTGAATTCTGCAAGGGAGATAGGTGCCTAATAAATGTTTAAAATAAATAAAGCAATTAACTTTTAAAGAATGGGCAGATTTTTTAAAAAAAATAATAATAAATAGAAGCCACATGCATAAAAAGGGAACTTTTATCATGTTTCTTACTATTGGCGGTTTCTTCAAAGCTGTTAACCACTTCCCCAGGCATTAGTGGTTCTGTTGTCTACATTTCATCCATACTATTGAAAAAATTGTTTGGGTACTTTAAATAAGATGGAGACACTTGCTAGTTTTTTTTTAGGATGATTTTTGCCTCCTTATCAAATAACAAAGCTAATGCAAGCTAATTGAAAGTTGCTCCCCCCTCCCCTTCTCTCTTTTCTGTCTTGTCCTTTTTGTCAGACTATTTTGAGAATTGTGGTTCTCGGTATATGGGACTACATTGAAAACAAAATAGAGGTAAGTAAACGTATTTTTCGTCTTTTAATAGAGTCCCCATCCTCTGCAATGTTTCTTGGCGCGACTAAGGTTAACTTGCACATTAGCACACCCAAATGAGGAAGGTTCCCCGGCCCTCCGCGATCCTCATCCAGATTTCTGACTCTGCAGTAAAACGAAGCTGCCGGAAGCCGCTGCAACCCCTCCCCCAACAACATTTTAAGTATTAATTGGACTGCTAGTTAGACAAAACCGGGGAAACCCGAGTTCAAGTTCCCCACTCTGCCACAAAGCTCACTGGGTGACCTTGAACTAAGTTGCCCTCTCCCAGTCCAGCCCACCTCACAGGGTTGTTGTGAAGATAAAATGGAGGAAAGGACACATGAACACATGAAGCTGCCTTATACTGAATCAGATTCTTGGTCCATCGGAGTCAGTATTAGTTGTAGATTTTCTGGGCTGTACAGCCGTGGCCTTGGCATTGTAGGCCCTGCCGTTTCGCCAGCAGCTGTGACTGGCATCCCCAGAGATAGAACACAGAAAGAGGGAGTACTCTCTGTGTCGAGAAACGTCAGGTCCTACAATTTTATTTATTTATTTGATTTTTTTTTTACCCCGCCCTCCCTGCAGGCAGGCTCGGGGCAGCTTACAAAAGATGAAACAAAAAACAATTATAACAAAGATAAAACCATATAAAACCATTATACACAGTCTGATGTCATAAAGTGCTAGCTAGTTAGTTGTACTGCCAAGACCACGGCCCTACAGCCCGGAAGATCTACAATAACTAATGAACTCCGGCCGTGAAAGCCTTCGACAACATATCGGAGTCGGTATTGTCTGCTCAGACTGGCAGCAGCACTCCAGGGCCCCAGGCAGAGAGAAATCTTTCGCATCGCCTACTGCCTGGTCCTTTTTTAACTGGAGGTGGCAGGGATTGAACCTGAGACCTCACGCATGCCAACTGAGCCACAGCCCCTCCCCGAGGCAAAGAAAAAGAAACGATGTACATGGAGCCGTGGGGTAACAGAGCAACAGGGAGAGTGGGATGAACTTCACTTGTGGTTGTTAATCCAGAAGGTACTGGGACCCTGCCCTATTTTGCGGTTGTGTGCCAGGGCTCAGGACTAGGGATGTGCATTCGGTTCATCTGAACCGAATGCACCCCCAAAAATGGCCCATTCAGGCCCCTTTCGGGCTGCTGCAGGCCGATTCAGATTCTCTGATCTGAATCGGATTGCCACCGAATTTCTTTTTCCCCCCACCATAGAGAACAATGGAGGTGATGGGGGCAACCTGTTTGGGGGGACATAGAATTGGACCCCATGGTCCAATGGTCTTGAAACATGGTGGGTGTCTTGGGGAGAGGCTCCAGCAGCTATCCTGCGAGTTTGGAGCCTCTCCCTCAAACCCCCTCCCCTCCAGCCCCCAGAATATACCCTATGTTTTCGCCATTACTTCAATGGCCCATAGGATATAATGGGGCCGAAACTGACATTCGGCTGGCCGAAAGACTCCCCAATTGGCTCGCACTGCCGAAATTGACATGTCGGAGACTTTCTGCCGGCTGAAATTGATTCTGCCCAATTTTTTGCACACCCCTACTCAGGACTTATGCGAATGCAGCTCTACATTAACGAAATGAGCAAGCCTGCCCTTCAGCTTTTCCGAGAAGTTAACGGTCTGTCTGCGATTAAGCTTTTATTTAGATTGTTGTTTTAGCAACTGCCTTTTACGTAAGCCGCCCTGAGCCTGCTCCGGCCAGGAGGGCGGGGTATAAATCAAATAAATAAAAGTGTGATAGCTCCTAAAAATAGATTGACAGGGAATTGGAGAGGGGCGGCTAGACTTAGACACGACACTTGCGTAGCTGACGACAATCAGATAGTCCCTTTCTGTAAAATATGTGTGATTGTGACTCATGACGCCTTCCTCCTGCTAGGTATTTGATGGTGCTGTGATCATCTTATCCTTGGCTCCGATGGTGGCTTCTACTGTGGCTAATGGCCCAAACAGCCCATGGGACGCCATCAGCCTCATCATCACCCTGAGAATCTGGAGAGTCAAGAGAATCATTGACGGTGAGTCATCTTTTTCCGCCTGTTTAAAAAAAGCACAACCCTCTTTGAAACCTCTCGGTGGGCCTTCGCCTCGCGCTTCTTTGAAGCGGGAAGCCAGCGTTTAGTCGGCTGGCTCGGTTGGATGTGGTGGGCAACTCATCCGCCTGCTTCTGCCTCAGCTCGGGTTTCCTGTTTCAAATAGGATGGCTAGAACTCTGGACCGAAATTTCCAGTCGCCTGGAAAACTTGTTGGCTCTGGAGAGTATAAAATGCAGGTTCAAAACATTGTTCTCGGTTTGGAAACCAGGATACCCAAACCAAAAACCCAAAGAGTAATTAACACGTGGAATTCAGTGCCGCAGGAAGTGGTGGCAGCTATAAGCATAGACAGCTTCAAGCAACCACAAGCATAGACATATGGAAAAGAGGTCCATTAGTGGCTATTAGCCACAACATATAGATGGAACACTATGTCTGGGGCAGTGATGCTCTGTATTCTTGGTGCTTGGGGGGCACCTGGAGTTCTGGCCCCGCTGGCGGACCTCCTGAAGGCACCTGGGCTTTGGCCACTGTGTGACACAGAGTGTTGGACTGGATGGGCCATTGGCCTGATCCAACATGGCTTCTCTTATGTTCTTATGGTAGAGATAGCAGGTGTTGGATACAAAAAACTGGGAAATGGGTGCGTGGAAGCAACAGCCTCTTGTTTCGTACAAGTCCAGGCCAGCCAGAGTCAATCCCATCATTTAAGTTGTATTGATTTAAAAAGGAGAGTCGGATTTGCGGTTAGATTGCTCCCTTCATACATATTTATTTATGTTGTTTATAATCCACCTTTCTCGCTGGGATGCAAGCCGGATTACACAGAGTGAGTCAACACAAGAAGGGACGTTCAATACACAACGCAAGAGTATTAGGGTTGTAGAACCAACCAGAAGTCTAAAAAACAGGACTGAAGCAAACTGTAGGTGTTAACACAACACATTAAATGATGCAAAATTACATAAGAGGATCCAGTGTACAGCAAACTGTACACAGGAGCATAAACCACAGTCCCTAATCGTTTATCCCAATAGCATTGTGAATCATTTTGTACAATGCTACCCTATTGCCTGTGTAGAAAAGCCCTCTTGAATCATTCAATTTTGAGTTGTTTATGGAAAGCCAGGAGAGTGGGGAGCCTTCCTGACCTCCTCAAATGGGCCATTCCACAAGGTGGGGGGCCACTGTGAAGAAGGCCGAGAAAGAATAGCCAGTACTTAAATGTTAGCATGGTAACTGTTGAGCACCTGGTGGAGTGACTGTGGAATAAGAGTATATATGGCTTTTTTGGTAGAAAAAGCCCAGCAGGAACTCATTAGCATAATGTATTTATTTGCCATACCCAACAGCAGGAACTCGTTAGCATATTAGGCCACACCCCTGACATCACAGCTTATTTGCATATTAGACCACACCCCATGTTACCAGAATCCAGCCACACCCATCTTTTGCTTCTTATTCTCTTTACCTTGTTTGTTGTCAAAACCCAGGGTTGTTGTTTTTTTTTGGAAGCAGGAACTCCTTTGCATGTTAGGCCACACACCCCTAATTGTAGCCAATCCTAATGAGCTTCTGCTGTTGGGTGTGGCCTATTATGCTAATGAGTTCCTGCTGGGCGTGGCCAACTCGGGAGCCAGCTGGAACTCCGTCCCTGTGCGTTCCTGCCCAAAAATAGCCCTCTGTGTGTGTGTGTGTGTATTTCGACAGGCTTTCAAGCAAGGGAAACCTTTACTTTATATATTTGCATGCAAAGCTACCTTATACAGAGCCATATTGTTGGTCGATCTTAGCTCAGCATTGTCTTCTCTGCAACACACTGCCTCTCCTGGGTCTCCAGCAGCAAAAAGGTCTTTCCCCGAATCCTCCTACCTGGAGTTCCTTGTTACTGGAGAAGCCATGGTTTGAATCCACAACATTCTACATGTAATGCTCTTATCACGGCGCCGCACCTCTCCCCAAGTAAACAGGACTTCAAGCTGAAATAAATGGGACTCAAAAAGGTGTCATGTTGACTCAATCATATATTGTATTTATATGCACTTCTAACATGCCATTCAGAACTTTACCCTGAGAATACGTATGAAGTTGCTTTAGACAGAATGAGTACCATTCATCCATATTTCGTAATGCTGACAAGGCAGAGGCCTTTCTGAATACTGGTCTCTTTAGCATTTTCATTTTTGTTGCTTGTGTATCTGTATTGCGCGGGGGGGGGTGTCTTTTCGGCATGTGTTTTGCTCCCTCTAGTGGTCAGTTCAATATTACATCACTGTCTGGCATATCTCCCTGTAGATGTGTGCCGATGTGTGCCGGCCACAGCAGAGTGAACTGCAGGTTTTCATGCCAGACATACAGCAATGTAATGTCGAATCAACCACTCGGGGAAGCAAAACACATGCAGAAAACAGGGGGAAACCCCAAAGCAATAGGTACACACAAGAGAATGCTTCCTGATTCTTTCATTGGAGATGGCAATTGTTACTTTCTTAAGGACCTGGCTAAGCTGGGACCGGGCTACTTTTAAAGGATTCTTCCCACAGTGGCTAAGCAAAGGTAGACTTTTCAGGAAGCCAGTGGGGTTGCTGCACTTATTATAGCTACGGCTGTCTTTCCCCATAAGCTCACAGACTGCTTTGTTGTGGTTCCTAGCTTACGTACTGCCAGTAAAAGTGGAGATGGAAATGGTGATTCAACAATACGAGAAGGCGAAAGTCATCCAAGACGAACAGCTGGAAAGACTAACTCAGATCTGCCAAGAACAAGGGGTAAGGCCCAGTTGTGTGCACAAGAGCATAAGTAAGCAGTTTAACAGTGATGCTGAATGGAATGTGTGTTTTCATAGAAAGCAAAGGTCAGCTCTGCATATGTGTGAACACAGCTGTATATACAGACACTTTCAGAAATACATTAAATGAAAGCTCATTCCTGGGTACAGGTTAACGGAAACGCTGTATTCTGCAGCCTGCCTGATTTTTGTGCAAAAACCGTATTCTGCAGCCTGCTTGATTTTGTGCGTTGCTTTATTGGGTTGTGGCAAGACATAGCATGGAGAGAAATCGAGAGTTAAACGAGCGTCTACCTCTGTGTGGGGCCTGCGGAACAGTGAATGTGCCTAAGTTTGCACACGCAAGGTCAAAAAAGGGCACCCACGGTTGCGAGCGAGCGATTTGGCCACTGCATAAGTTAGCTTGCTCTGGAGCCCCATCCTCCCTGAGCTGAGACAAAAACCTGTGAGCTGGGGGCTAAAAATCTGTGAGTTGGCGCGCACTCAGCTTAGAGGGGACCCTGCCGACGGTGGGAGTGGAAAGAGGCAGCAGGACGCTCTCCCCAGCCCCCTCACTCGGGCCAGCCCAGCTAGCCCGCCCGCTCACTGCCACCCCACTACTGAGCAAGGCAGGCATCTCCTGCTGCTGGGACTGCGGCCATCTCCGTCACCGCCGCTCTTCTGGATGTCACTGGCTGGGAGTGGGGGG